TGACCAACGTAGTTATTTTCCCTTAACTAGGTCTTGCAGAGTTTTGTGTTTGTTTTTGTTCAGGAAAAAGTTTTAAAATAATCTAATAATTGCAGAATTTCGTCATGCAAATTAATCCATTCATTTAAGCACTTATGTTCACATGCAATGTTTGAAATCATTTGAATTTCATTTGCCAAAAGTGAGACAAACTACGCTCTCCAATTACGGTTGTGCAAATGGCGCGAAAAAACGTGATCGGTCTCTAGTTTCGTCAATGGATTTTAATTTTTAGATTTAACAGCGGAGTGAAAATGTTCCCAAAGATCCAGCTTTTTTTTTAATTGGGGATTCATTTTAGGAAAAAATTGCCAGTCTTAACAGTTCATGATTGTTATAATATCATCCCGTAGTTTGCTGTTTTGCAATTTTTGTAGCAGTTTTATTTACATCGCGGCTCTTAGGCTCAAAATGACGAACACATTAGTCGGCACCCAGTCACATTGTGATTTATCTGGAACATTCCAGAATATAGGCGTCCAGTTATTCCATAGAAGAATCCAGTAAAACAAATCAATTGAGTCGAGTTCTTTCTTCTGCAATTCGCCAAGGTATTTTAATCGGTTAATAGTACACAAATTTACTATCAAGAACTTGAAAGTGAGATGTTGTGTTTTTTTTTTTAATTCAAACGCAATAACGGTTTCTGCACGATCAGCCTGAAAGCCCATGCTTGGGAAAACGGGGGTACGGGGTTCTGTTTCAACCTGGAGCCTATTTTTTATTCCTGTTATTATAAATTCATTGTAAATGGTTTTATTCAATTTCCTTCATTTTTTCCCGCGTTGAAAAGGTGCCTTCGACTAGTGTTTTGGTAGTGTTTGCGAAGCGAAGTTTCGCCTCTATGTAGATACATATTTTAATAGATTTTTTTTTGATGTTACTTGTAAGCTCACTTTTGTCATAATATCATTTTTTTTGTTTATTCTGCTTATTATGTTTCGGCTAGCCAAATTTTCAAATTTCTGTTGGCTATATTTTGGCTTGAGTTTTCGAACTTCAATTTCGCCCCGGTGTAGGATACTTGAAATTCTTTTTGTAGTAATTATTTCATCTGTTGGTTTCAGTAACTTGCAACCTGACAACGGCGACGGCCAGAAAGGCGAAGAGAAAGGCCAAGGCGAGGCTGCAAAAGAGCAAAAACAGAAGGCCAAATCTGGAACATGTTCTGTGTTGTAGGCGTGAAATCATTGCAGTTATTCAATAATAATACGCAGTGCAATTAATAAAACAGTGCGTTAATGAAGCTCAGTGCAATAATTAACTAAATTCATGACTAAATAATGATCAAAGTTCGCGTGCAGCGTTAGATTAAATGTGCAATAAATTGAAATGAACACATGTTAGTCTGTAATTGAGGTTTTCTGTAATGTGTGTTTATCTGAGAATTTGAGTCGGAACAAATTATTGAATAGTTGTTTCGAGCTTTTTATTCGCCATCATGCGCTCAGCGAATGCGCGGCGACGATAATTCTATATACCGGCAAAATTTGTACTTTTTCTCGGAAAGTTGGCTTGAAATTTGATAAATGAGAAAGGATATAAAGATTTTGTAATATGCTTTGGGTTTTAGAGAATGATGGAAAAATTCTTCATACTCTATTAGCCAATCAGATGTTTTCGTTCATCAGGTTTTTTTTATTCTTCAGTTATGAAGGACCAGAGTCTTTTTTGTTGAAAGGACAAAATTTAACCTTGGTATATTGTCTGGTAAACAAGATCAAAATTTTTGAATCTGAGTGATTGAATCTAATCGAAACGGGAAACAAATGCGAGTTTAATTTGTAATTTCCTAACTTTGAGGCGTCAAACAAAAATCAACCGTTTTAATTGGCCATTTATTGACAGAGTTGGTTAGTTTGTCTGTTTTGTTTGTGTTCAATTGCCAAAACCTCATCTTCATACCCCTCTCGTCATCATCATTGCTGTTTCTGTAAATGTGTACATATGTGATATATCTAATTATAAATTATGCATTTCACTTCTTCCAACTTTAAAATGTCCCTATTTGCTAATTCAGACAAATATCGGAACTTGCTTACAGCGTATCAGATTAGTTAAAACTTGCCCTGTCGATTTGAGAACTCTCATTGTCTCACTTGTAACTTATATTTTGCGTTGATAACCCGGAATAGCAAAAAAAACTAGTAGGAAAGCTGCAAATTTTCCGATAGTTGGTTTTTTGTTTCTTATTTGATGTAGAAGTAATCGGCAAGAAATTATTCTGAGGGCAAAGAATAGTTCTTAATGAATCTGTAAAGTACATCAATATGGAATTATCAGTGATGAAGTTTGTCAATAACTTTTGCATCAACTTTGAACAAAAATAGTCATTATTTCTTTTAAAACTAGGCGCAGCAAGCAGCAAAATATTTTCCGATACCTGAAGCAAACATGGTGTTATCTGAAAACAGTAGATTTAAAAGCCATTCTCTGCAATTTTTGAAAATGTTTTGGTGCATCTAAAATAGTTCTGATACCACTCGAAAAGCCCAATCTTATAAGTAGTTTATTGGGAAATATCATATGAATCATTTGAATTGCTTTTTAAATTTTTCAACAGGACAAGTTTTTACAAGGATCGTTAATCAATCGTTATTGGAAATGATAAATGAGCTTAACTCGGTTAAGATTCATTATTATTGAATCTGCTTGCTATGCCTTTAGTTTTAACAAAATGAAATATCAAAAAAAACATTTCATAAACATGATGTGCAATAACTACGTGGTCTCTTAACTTTTCAGTTGTCGTAGCTTTAATTTTAAATTGATGTCAATTCAATTCATTGTTCATGAGTGTCTTCTCTCTCTCATTTTGGATTTCGGAACCACTAGTCACAGAACAATTTAGTGCGAATAATAAGCTATTTTTATCTGGTCAGTGCAATAATTTGCAACCAGGAACTAAATTATTTATTCTGGAGGGGATTTTCCAAAAAAATTATAAGAAGACTTTTTTTGGTTGATTGATTTTTCGAGCTCTCCCAAAACACTAAATATTCAAAACACTAAATATTCATTGACTTTGTGAAAAAAAACTGGCTACGATGACGTTGCTGTGGTTTTCGCTCGCTCCCGTTAGGCGACAATTCGTAACAGGCGACAATTAGAAACAGGTGACAATTAGTAGCAAGCGACAATTAGTAATAGTAAATTGAGCTGGAAACACTGATTCACGCTCAGCGCTCCTCTCGTGCTGGATGTATTCTACTTGCCAATGCCTTGTTTAACCTAGCGATAAGCAAGGGTATTGTAATCGGGTACTAGAATTTTGGCTAGGTATTGGCTCCCCTGAGGCGTCAATTCGTAATAGACTACAATTCGTAACAGGCGACAATTCGTAACAGGTCACAATTCGTAACAAACGACAATTCGTAACAGTAGGTTGAGCGGGGAACCTTGAATCATGCGCGTTATTCATTTCGTGCTGGATGTATTCTACTTGCCAATGCCTTGTTTAACTTAGCGATGAGCAAGGGTATTGCAATTGGGTACTAGATTTTTTTGGTACTAGAATTACGTATTCTGTAAATAACAGAATGCGTAATAACTGTATTAGCTCAATACAGTTACGACGCGGCATTTAGTTGTGTTACGTTAATTTTTAATCAATCTTTACTTTTTGAATAAATTGAAAAAACAAAACAAATCTTTTGATTTTTTTTGTTTTTTAAGAGCAATTGACATAGTGAATACTCCTATATAGGTCTTGGTGATTTTTTTTCGGAAAAAGTCTTAAAGTTTGTTCACGCTCAATATAGATTTTTCGAGGTTTGAATTGTGATCTCTTTTTAAGTTCAGTGCATTTCCATTGTTCAAAGGTAGGCAAACTTCACTCGAACAGCAAAAGTGTAAAGGTCACGAAAAACGTGATCGACTTCTAATTTCGAAAATGGAAATTAGTTATCAGATTTCCCAGCGAAATGTGAGTTTTAGCTATTGATCCAGTTTTCTCAAAATGAGGGAATTTCAGTAAAAAAGTGTCCATCATAAATTGTTCTATAAATTCAAAGAGCTCTGAGGCCATCCATTTTTTTCTTCGAAATTCAAAAATTTGAAAAACAAGTTAATTTTTTCAATTTCCTTGCGTTCATTACTCTTTTCCAACTGACAGTTGGCTATGTTTTCTCAGTTCAAGCAACAAAATTATTTCAAACATATGTTGATTTTCGTTTTACGGTTAGGTGTACTTATAGAATTATTTTCGGTGCAGATAAAATAACTCACTAGTTATTTTTTAATTCAGTTTTTTTTAGTTTTTCGATATTTGTTCTTTCAAACTGTTTTCTTATTAGATTCTTACCCATTTTTTCCATTTAGCTTTTTCTTTTGAAAAATGAAGACTAACCAAGCCCGAAGTGTTTTTTTTTTTCATCTTTTTTGTTTTTTGGTCAATCAATTTAGGTTTATGGGTTTATCAAAATAACAACCATTGCTTAATAGTATAACAAGTTTGGGATACCGAGATCGGTCGGCTTCAATTCCGTCGGCTCATTTCCTCAATAGTTTTTTTCTTTTATTATTTGTTGTAATTATAACGACTGAACGAGAGATTTTTGCTAGTCTGAATCACCCTTTTAACAAATTTAGAAAACTTTAACATGAAAAAGTCATTTTTTAATTTAAAAAATGTAGCTTTTTTTTCTTGAAAATCAATATTTGACTTTCTAGTTTGTTTATTAATACAGGTCAACACCTTCGATGTTTTGATTGTGAGACTTGCATTTTTTTATCGCAAGTGGTGCGAAGCTCTGCTTCGCCTCTGCGTACAAATTGTCGCCTCTTACGAATTGTCGCCTGTTTCGAACTGTCGCCCTCCTTTTTAGGGCAAGGCGGTTGCAAATGGATACCCTCTATAGTACCAAAGAGCTTCATATTGTGTCGTGACGGTATCGAGTACCGATAAATCCACCTTGCATACAATGGTATAGTGTTTGAGGCTAGGATCTGTTTTCAGGTTGAAATATGTTTCATCTCTAAATTAATGGCCTAGTTTATAATGACAAATCTGAACAGCTATCCTTGGCGGTGTTGCTTTACTGTACACATGAAAGAAATCTAATTTATTAAAATTTAAAATAAAAAAAATTGAAATATATTCACAATTGTAGAACTAAATTCTATTCTATTATATTCTAAAAAATTTCGAATCAATCTGAAAAGATACAGATCAAGTTTCTCGGAATCTCAGAGCTTGACAACGAAAGCGAATTTGATAACTGAAAAAAAAACATAATTAAATATTTCTTTCTTTAAAGCAATTGAAGCTGAGTTCCCAACCAGATTCGAACCCTGAGTTGTGAAATGAAACTTCCTGCATGCGGCTCCATCATAGTTTTATTTTGCGAATGATCAGAAAATTCAGAGTCACTTCAGATCTATTAGCGAATGATCAGAGTCACTGCAGATAGTTAAGTACTACTGAATTAATCTTCATTATTCTCTAGTTCAAAACAAATTCAGTTTGCTTATAACAGGTTTTGACCAAATTGAAGATCAATTTCAGAAATACAATACCGAATAAATGATTGTATGCAAGAATTGTCTAGAAGCTGTTCATATATGAACGTGAACAAAAAAACAGCGACGATCTTTCTCTGATATTCATTTACTATTTTGAATTGACAGCAAGATTCGTTCTTGGAACAGCGTTGCGTCAATTATATCATAACCGTGATTGAAGTTTTTTTCCTCAAGTTTATAACGTCAGCTTTGCTTTGAAAAAATCCCAAATTCAGTTATTACACTCTGAATGAAATCATTTCATTCAAAGTTTAGCAAAAAGTCGTGAACAGTTTAATGAAATCTTTCTTACTTTGTTACAATTTCCAAATTAAGACTCAGTTGTCTTAATATTCTCTACTTTTTGTTGATAGAAAAGATCTCGTTTAGAAACAACTGGTAATGTTTCGGATTAACGATATTAATTCTTGAGCCCAATTTCGGCGTGTAACCCCGATGTGACTTGATCTAACCTTTCAACTGATCTGTTGAAAAACCGCATTTGAATTGATCTGATCTGATATTACAGACAATTCAGAATAATAATCGAATATTTTTCGAACCACATTCTCAACAGCCATCGAAATTTAAGAGTCACTTTCCATAGATGTTATCCCGGTGAGATGCCACCTATTTCTCTTCCCAACAGTCAAGCTCACTCGGCATTCTCAACTGCCGTTGGGGGAGGGGGAGGTGGAGTAGGGGGTGCAATTGGCGCGCTGAGTAATGACATGTACAGAGTGGGGGACTATGTATACTTTGAGGTATGTTATCTGATTTGGTAACTTGTTTAGAAGTAAGGTCCCGCAAAACTACTTATGTTCTCATATAAAAGTCAGTCAGAAATTTTTTTGAAAATGTACACTAGTGGACAAAATTGAGCGCAAAATCAGGACTTTACTCTCTAAAATGCCAGTTTTTAATGTCCATTTTGGGCAACGCTTCCTTCGAAATTCAGTAAAATTTTACATAGACGAAGAGCAAATGATCAGAGCTACCCTCTATGAAATTATTGAAAAGTGGTTTCAAAGACTTATCACTGTAATACGGGTCTGAAAATGCCAATTTTCTCATCTGCACTTAGTTTTGTAATGTAGTGAACTCTTTCTTGAATAAGCGGAGCAAGAAAGTTGTGCAATCGACGTGCAACATTCTCAGCGAGAAAATGGAAACAATTACCGTGAAAACTTTACTAAACTCGGACGTTTTAGCTTTTCTAACTTAGTGCAGATGAGAAAAATTGGCAGTTTCAGAAGCGGAACACATTAGTAAGTCTTTGAAACCAACTATTGATAATTTAGTAGAGGCTAGCTTTTATTAATTGCTCTGTCTATGTAAATTTTTTACTGAATTTCAAGGAAAATGTCCTAAATGGACATCAAAAACAGGCGTTATAAAAGGTAAAATCCTGAATTGCGCTTAATTTTCATGCACTAGTGTGAACGCAAATTCAAAGGACCAATTTGAGCCATATATACTTTGAAAATTCACAAAACTTTCACATCGACCGACAGCGAATGATCTGAACTACCCTCTCTCAAAGTCTCAAGTTTTAATTTGATGCATTTACCTGTTTTTTTTCCGGTTCTGAAAATACAAGTTCTTATCACCCGCTCTACGTTTTTCAAAACGCGTGAAATTTTAAGAAACAGTTGAGTTTAGTAAAGTTGTCACACTGAATAATTCAATTTTTTTTCGCTGAGAATGTTTCACGTTACATGAACAACTTGTTTTACTCCACTTTTTCGAGAAAGACTTTACTACGATGCAAAAGCTAGCACAGACAATAATTACTGGCTTTTGCAGAACAAAAAAGTACTGGTAATTGCTTTTAAATCAAATTTGAGACTTTCAGGGAGGGTAGTTCAGATCATTTTCTGTCGGCGATGTAAAAAAAGTTTTTAAAAAGTTAATTTTGTTCAGAATGGTTCGTAAAGTTAGGCTTTTTAAACCTTAAAAACTTGAATTTGCTTTCAATTTTGTCCACCAATGTATTTTTGATAATTCCATTTTAAAGAAAATGTATGTGGTTTAATTGATACTACAGCTGATTAAAAAATGATTACAAGTTTTCTTTGTATTTTCATCAACTTGAAGAATTGAATTAGATTTCAATTAGATGTGAAGTGGTTTAACATCGGTTGAAAATTTATCAATTCTTCATTCTCTCCCAATTGCTATGATTTTGATTGGTTGCTGAGAGTTTAAGGCAATGGCTTCTTTATGTTTCATTATTAACATTTCTTAGTTCATAGCTCCTCTTTTAACAGATTGAAAGATATTTTCAATGTGTAGAAAATACGCGGGTGAAATGCAGTAACGCAGCTAGATTAACTAAAACGGAAAAATGAAACAAAGTTTTGCCTTGCCATAGTTGAAAAAACATATATAGTAACTTCAAAAAGCTTCTCACGCCTAACCATACTCATCTTCTAGGCTATAATTTGAAATTTCTTCTTTAATTATTTAAAACTTTACATCGGTTTAGAGGAAGTAGTAGCAGATTAGAAAAATCTAAAACTCTCATCTGAAGTTCAATGCGGAAAGTAAAGATTGAACAAAAAATATTAGCAAATTGTATGGTTGCGTTACTTTCTTTCTCCAGAATAGTCTTTTACAAATAGCCTTTTCTCTACATGACCTGTCATTTGAACTGTGATAGTTGAGTTGAGTCTCAATTTAATTGCGATATAGAGATTAGCACTGGGGGCAAAATTTTTGAAAGGAATTTGAATACTTCAATATGAATTATTTATACATAGTTAAAAATTTTGATTTTTGACTTGTAACGAGTTTTGTCAATGTATTTCTCCATTAAGAGAACACATGCAATGCATGATCAAAATAATGTCTCCGATCTAAGTTGGAATATTGCTGCAGAGTTGGAAAAGACGAGAGGATGAGAAAATCTAAATTTGTTTTATTAATGTTTCTGAGAGCACAATGCGTTCCTCTCTGTTTTTTAATAATTGAATTAACGGAGTTTGATATCAGCATTTTAACTGACAATTGATTTGACTTAAAATAATTATCCCTTTTTCGTAATCTCGCTGAATTATATCGTTCAGCGCTTATTTAGTGCTGAATTGATTTCTTAGTTCTGCGCATATTTTGTAGAACAACAGTGGCCTTACGTATTGTTAGATCAAGAAGAATTGTTTTCACTCAAAGTGTTTTCACTAACTCAGAAACTAAAGTGAAAATACAGAAATAGAAAAATCATTAATCAAACTTTTTCAATATAAATGTTTTCTTTAAGTGTTAGTTGAGTATGGATAGGCTAGGGGTTTATGGAAATCTCAAGGAGTTTATTTTTGATTTAATGAACTTGCAAACATTTGTTTTGAATTTAAAATAATGGAATAAAGTCCACAAAAAAGTGAAGAAAAACATCAGAATAGTCAGAATCGCAGCATTCAAATTTAAGCATCAAAGCGCAGCAGTAGAATATAAAGAAGTTTGTTTCAAGTAGTGCAATTATCCAACAATATAGAGAACTTATCATTAATAGAGCACTGATTTGAGCAAGCGCAGAAGGTAATTCAACCTATTTCAGCGCCGCTGAGAACTTTCTTTTAAGTACTGTCTTATATGGACCTGATTGTTTTATCGAAGTAACATCTATACAGAAAAAAGATAATAGATTTAAAGAAAAACAAATCAAATTTCAAAATCTTACATTTCCTTTATCTTGCATCTAATTGATTTGCTTTATTTCAATTAATACGATGTTTTTTTTGGGCGGTCGCTTATAGTCCATTAAAAAAAAACTACCCGAAATTTTTTTTACCAAAACAATTTGTTGAAGTAGGCGCATTCGATTAAATAAGTATCTCTGATTTTATGCATAAGTTTGTCTATAGACTTCTAGGCTCGATTGAAATTTCTTTAATGATTTTCATATTGAAATTAATTAGAGAATTAGATAGTGTCCGTATTCGCACAGATTTTTTTGTTATTTCATGTTAATTTTTTTGTTGTTAATGATTTTATTCTTCTAGTGGCAACGAGTGATTTGTCTACTTCTTGTTTTGAAATACAATTGTTCACGTTATTATTTTCATGGTGTCGTCTTTTTACTTTAGAGGGTAATTTCAGCTGTTCGTATACGTGTAATTCGTTGATTGAGCAAATTCTCAGCATTTTTTATAGTTTTTTTGAGGCGAAACGCAATTCGAATTAAAAAGTTTGTGGTACTTGAAAATTTTTAAAGTGGTTTTATTGGCAACTCCTTGTACTAATACACCATATTGATATATTGGTTGTGTAAACTGCTTGTAAATTCTAATGAGAATAGATGAGCTGAGAAACTGTCTTGTTTGATAGAAAATGAATGAATCGATTGCATTTTTGTCTTACTGATTTAATATGTTAGTTGAAGGTAACATTTTGATGCAAAATTAATCCTAGGTTTTAACTGCACTTTGTAGTTCTATCGTGTTTTGGTTTCAGATAAAACTTTCAAATTTTTTTATTCCATTAATCATTATTTCTGTTTTTCCTTTGTTTGCTGTAAGTTTCTTTTCCATCCCTTGGTAAATTAATTCCAAATCTGTTTTAAGTTCGTTAATTCCGTTGAGTATTCCAAAAATATTACTGTCATCCGCATGAAGAATGCGTTCGCTGTGCTGTGGCATGCTTGGAAGATCATTGATATAAATAAGAAAATGCAGGGGACCCAAAACAGAACTTTGAGGTACCCCACAATGAAGCTTCTGTTGTCGAACAATTGAAAAACATTCTGGCTTCTTTTGCTGAGGTAGTATTTCAGTAAATAAAGAGGAACGCCTCTCAGCCCGTAAAGGTGACTTTTGTGAAAAAGGGTGTTATTATCAACAGTATCTAGAGCTTTAGATAGTGTGCAGTGCGTCAATTCATCAGTATTTTGCTTTCAGTAAGAATCTCTCAAGTTTCCACAATAGCATCAACTGTAGAGTGTTTGTTGCGAAATCCAAACTGTTTATTGCGTAAGATTTCAAACTTATTGAAAAAATTAATTATTCGTTTCGATGATAGGTTTTCAAAAACTTTTCCTATAACAGAAACTAAAGAAATAGGTAAAGGTGAAAAAGGTGAGCCGGTAAAGGTGACTTTTGTGAAAAAGGGTGTTATTATCAACAGTATCTAGAGCTTTAGATAGTGTGCAGTGCGTCAATTCATCAGTATGTTGCTTTCAATAAGAATCTCTCAAGTTTCCACAATAGCATCAACTGTAGAGTGTTTTTTGCGAAATCCAAACTGTTTATTGCTTAAGACTTCAAACTTATTGAAAAAATTAATTATTCGTTTCGATAATAGATTTTCAAAAACTTTTCCTATAACAGAAACTAAAGAAATAGGTCTTTCACAATTGCATAGAAAAGACTTGTCTCCTTCTTTGAAAATAGGAACTATTTTTGCTGTTCTAAGACAACTGGGATAAACTGCTTCGCTAATTATCTGGTTAAAAATACTGGCCATGCCATCACTCTTGTCTAAATAAAAAACTGTTGTCTGATTGTAGTTTCACTTGGAGTCCTTTTGCATAAGAGAAGGGCTAGATGTCTAGCTTGATGTAATAGCGAAGCTCCTTTTCGGCTCCCTCGAATTATATCCCTCGAGTCTTTTTCGCTTTGAAAAAAGTTCAATCAGCATCACACGCGATTTTTCTATTGATGGTATTGATACAATGGGAGTAGCTAAGCATTTATAAGCTGCGTGTCGATAAGGATCTAGAGGAAGCACCAGTGTATCTGTTGATTGACAGATGGTGACATAGAACTGTTTGAAATATGTTTCTCTCTAGCTCTTGAAGTCTTCGAAGCTCAGTCACCTGTTCATAGTTTTTTTTATCGATTTCGTCTTAAGGAATATTTCGATCATTTTGTGGCATCTTTTATGCGACTTTTTTATGCTACAATTCAGTAAATGATATTATTTTGTTTTCCAAAAAAAATAATTGTTAAATTTGTGTTTTGCTAATCTGTCTGCCTAACTATCTTGTCTGCCTAACTATCTAATAGCAGCATTTAGTTTTCGTAGTTGTTTCTCAGGAAAAACTTTTTTGGATTTAGTGAATCGCTGCGTACACTTAAAGTAACTTTCGTGTCTTTCAGCCTTCCGCACTATTTAACAATAGTCGTAGACGAACAACCCTATCGTCATGCTTTTTGTGACCGAATAAAAAAGCATATTATAGTCAATTTCATTTCGCAAGCGTTCCTTCCAATACCTATTGCAGTACTATTACAGTTAGAAGAATACACCCTTAGAAGAATACTTTAGTCGATAGCCAATAGTTACCTTGTCAAGAATCTTGCAAGATAACTATTGGCTATCGACTAGGGTAACACTTAAACTTTTCCAGGACTGCGCTTCTTAGGTCGAGTCAACTTTTTCCTACTTTATTCGCCCTCGAAGACCCTTTTTCGGTTTTTGGCTGGACACTCGGCTTCTAGTGGTAAAACTCGAGGAAAAATGTGTCCCCGAGTTTGAAGTTTTTGTCGTCCAGGAATTTTTCGATCACGTTATACTCAGCTCCTTCGATATCAATTTTGAGAATGAATTCATCTTGAACTTGAAAATTTTGTTATATATTGTGAAAAGTCAAATTTTTGTGCCTTTGCCTTTCAGTTTAATTTTTTCGTGCTAGTAAACTTCCCTGGTGATTGGATGACTCTTGTAATGTCGTTTCAAATAAACTTTTTTGTTTAGGTGCACGCGGGTCAGCCATACCAAATAAGGAAAGTAGAGGAGCTAAGCAGAAGTGGAACTAATTGCACTACAGGAAGCACATCTGGGGGAGGGGGAGGGGCTCAGGTGGAAGTGAAGGTGCAGTGCTTCTACAGGTTGGTGATTGGATAATTTTCCCCCTATCCCTTGTCTTGTAGACTGGAAGAGTTTTGCTGACGTAGCTGCACTTATAGCTAAGGCCCAATTGTAGAACCCATGCATAACCATTTTGGCAATATCGATGGCTTAGAGCTTCTCAATCGGTCAAAAATTTGTTTTTAGGTTGATTAGATTTTGAGGCATGAATGTGTTGAATACTTTTATCTAGGTTTTAGTCTCTTTTTTTGTTTGTTTTTTTTTCAGGAAAAAGTCTTGATATTTGCTCACGCTTAAATTTGATTTTTCGCAGTTTAATTTTTGATTTCTTTTTCATTTCGTTTGTTTAAAAAACGAACTCCGCTATCGAGCAGCATAAGCGTAAAGGTCTCGAAAAACGTGATCAACTTCTACTTTCGAAACTTGAATTTAATGTTCAGATTTTCCAGCGAAATGAAAAAAAAACCTATTGATCCAGTTTTCGCAAATTGGGATGGCTTTATTGAACAATTGTCTAGCATAAGTTTTTCTAGAAATCGAAAGAATTTTAAGGCCATATATTTGTTACTTTGAAATTAGAAAATTGAGCTTATTTAAGTCAGTTTTTTTATGTTTCCTTGCATTCAGGAATCTTTTACAACTGTCTGATGGCTATGTTTACGGGCTGAAATGGTGAAAAATTGATTTCTGAATTCAAAATGTTTTCGCGCAGTTTGAAGTTAAATTACTGCTTTCAGATTTCTAAGAAGGAAATACAACTTTTATAGTTGCTTAAAGAGACTAAGTGTGATGATATTCGTGTAATTAATTTGCATGTCAAAGTTCAAGCCAATTCGCTTGTCGGACCGACAACAACTAGTGTTAGTGCATTTCAGTTCATTTTTGTTCATTCTTCTGATGATAATTGAATTTTCGAATTTTGTTCTGGCAGAATATTTTGTTTCTATCCCTAAAGAGTTGTTAACCTTGCGATAAGCAAGGGTATTGCAATCGACTACTTAATTTATCCCTTAAATAAGTTTAGGCACAGAATAGTCAAATGTGTAGGAATGGTAAATTTCAGACATGCTCATTTTCTTTAAAATTCAAATAAAACTATTTTCATTTAGGTACTAAATAGGTGTAGTCCATTTCCGGTGGTAGTTTGTTTTCAAATAATTTTCTTGAACTCGTGATTTTCGCCATGGTTTCCGTCGGTTCTTTTCCCGTTTATTTGGAATTTGTTTCATCTGGTACTGTTTTTTTTCTCCTTTTTGGTTAAGCATGGATTTCACTTTGATTTCGAGTTTTTCTACTCTTAGTCAAATTTTTATTTTTTTTTCTGTTTTTTTAAGCGCTTTCAGCTATATTTTGGTAGAGCTAGTTTTTTCAACGTTTTTTATTTTTCGAATTCTAATGTTTTTTATGTTTGTATTTAATTGCAAGTGGTGCGGAGCTCCGCTTTGCCTCTGTGTAAAAAGTTCTGACATACACAGATAATTTTAAAGCGCAATCTGTCAATTTCGATTTAGTTTTAGAATTTTTGCATACAGAGTTTTCTTTGAAGAAATATTAACGATTGGATAATCTGAAATCATTTTCAGAGACATGAGCGATTATATTTTATCACTTATCCAACTGAAGTTAAAACTCAGTTTTATTGTTAATTCTGGTTTCAATTTGATGTGGTTCGTTTTTTTGAACGTTTTTTTCTAAGAGAATTGCAGATAATTATATATTGAATATTTGCACTTTGTTTTAGGAGACGGGATATGCCCTCTTCTTTGATTTCGATGGCCGACAAACATTACGCGTACTTGGAGGAGGAGAACGAAATAGTTCAGTCTACTGAACTCATATCAGACGAAACGAAACACCAGGTGAAAGTTTAAGAGACCCCCCAATTGACTTAAAATTAAAAAAAAATTGTCAGCCCCCGGTCCTGCTCAGTGCAAGACCAACCGTGGGGGAGAGAGATGTCATCCATTTCGCCGCAGCCGGTCCCACTTAGAGGAGGCGGATGAGTCTGGGTCATTAAATTTTGTTGTTAGGTAAGCAGTGGTTTTACTTTTTTCAAGCGTAATTACGGTTTCATGTGGATAACAATTGGGTAGAATTACAGTTGTACTTAAATATTTGCTATTGAAAGCGACCACAACTGGTTAAATATTTTGTTGAAAAAGTAACAATTGATGATTGGAGAGAGAATGATTGAAGGCATGATTCTACATGGGACAAATACCTTTAAAGTAGTTGAGAGGGGTCTTTTGTGTATGCAGAACCTGTCATGGTTTGGAACGCGAAAAATTGTATTTGAACAGGCGTTTGATTGTTGGACGTGTTCTAAACTAGATTTCGTAGTGCATAAATGCCTTTGACAATAAACGAAGCAATGCTCAGTCACAGTATTAACTCTGCGATTAGCTAGGGTAAAATAATTGAGTACTGAGGCTGGCTGTATTAGGCGAGTACTATTGTGAGAGGATTACGTCTCAAATGGCATAATTCCCAAATGGCATAAAAATGAAAAATTTCCCAAATGGCATAAATTTCATGCAACAGTTGCTTTGGAAAAATCGGGAACAATTTTTTCGTGAACAATGTGAGAAAATTAGTCAAATTGTCAATTCAAATGTTGATTGACATTTTATCGCGAAAAACTTTTTGGGAAGTTACCTTGTGAGAGAACACTTCGTTGAAAGCGATTTTTGGTCGAAAACGACTACTTGCGCATTTTCCATATAAAGGACAACTCATACTAAATGATTATTCGGAAAAGGCAGCAATGTGTAACAATTGATCGAGCGGGAATCTTGGATTCACGTGCACTTTTTGTCCCGTGAAAAGTGCACGTGAATTATTTTGCTTACAGTGTCTCACTTTTCTTATTACTTCCAGTTTCCGCTTTTTTCTGAAAAAGTCCTGAAATGTGTTCAGTTTCAAATTAAATTTTTCGCGATTTGACTTTTGATTTCTTTTCAAGTTCAGTGCATTTTCATTGTTAAAAGGAAGGTAAACTACACTATCGAACAGCAAGAGTGTAAAGGTCACGAGAAACGTGATCGACTTCTTCTTTCGAAAATACACTCATTGTTGATGCGACCGAAGTCTGGTGTTCGAGTGCGGTAAGGAGCCTTACTTACTTGAAATTGGAAGTTCTGTGCGCGGTTTTTTTTTGTTGTCAGGCTATCGTTTCTCTGGTTATTTTTTGTCGGCTAACTTTTGACAGCATCGGATTTTCTTCTGATTTAAGCATTTTTTTAAAAATTGAATGTTGAATATTGAAATTATTGAATGTTATTTTAAGCTAAAATGATGTGTGTTATTTATTGTTTGTCAGCTAAGTTTCAAAAGCGTAGATTTTTCTCAGATTTAAACATTTGTTGCTGTAATTGAAAAAATTTTCAATTATTTTTAAAATGATGCGGATAATTGGCGGGCAAAAAAATGTCATTTTCTTGCTAAATTCTTTTTCTACGGTTCATGTTTTATTTGTTTTTTTTTCAATTCACTCCTTAGTCACAGCAGTGAATAAAATCTTTTGTTTTAAAACTCTGAATTATCATAATTTATGGTTACACTTGCGAGCTTTAGCGAGCGTACTGTATTCTGCTATAATCATTATGCAATAGTTATGGCACTTCTGCTATAATCAAATCTGTAGCATTTGAAATTTCATAGCAACTGTTAACTGCTCTATTTGTGGCTAGTTTTTGTTGATCGTTATGCGGCTGTGGCCGAGCGGGTAGGACTTTGGGCTCCTAATCTCGAGGTCGCTAGATCGGATCCGTCACAAAGGAAAAGTTTTAGTTACTTGGAGGCTTAATTCTACTTTTATCTGATTTCAGTTTATAGAACTGATTTTTCTCAACTGATTTCATCACCTTTGTTGTGAGTTTGGCAAAAAAATGTTTCAGGATTTTGGAGTTGATCCTGGTTAGTCTTGAAACTTGATTTTTTTGTGATTTTTGTTTTCAAAACAGGAATTATATTGCGGCTTAACATGGCTTTTATCCTAAGATAATGAAGCTCTGCTTTGCTTCTTTAATAATTTAAAATTATCTGAATTGTCTTGAAATCTATAGAAGCACCAAACATTCTAATTACTAATATTTTTTAGCTGCGTCATCGTGAGCTGTTCCTCTCCCGTCAAAGTGAGACAGTCCCGGCCCAATACATAAGAGGCAAATGCAGTGTCCACTTACTATCAGAAGTGGAGAGTATGGCCTCGTATTTGAAAAGACAAGACCACTTCTTCTATACTCTAGTGTTCGACCCCACCCACAAGACACTACAGGCGGACAGGGGGGAGATGAGAGTTGGGATGCGGTTCCAGGCGGAGGTGCCTGCTTTCACACAGGTGAGATAATTATACGATTTCATGCATCGATTTAATTGTCAAATATTCTTTCCAAATTGAATTGAGGCCAGCTCATTGTTCATCACATTAATTTCCCTTTCGAGACTCAAATGATGTTTTTGAATACTTATTGTTCCGATTTTCGAAGAAGTGAAGGAATATTTGTGCTCGGATGTGATAAAATTTTTCATGCAGTTTGAAAGCTATTAATATTCTGACTTCAAGCCTTTATTTTTTTATCCAAATTTCTCAATCTGGGCTAATTATATCACAAAAAGTTTCAATGATAAAAGATTTTTTTAATTTAAATTGCTTTAAGGTCATATTTTTTCTTTATCGAAAGCTATAAAAAAATTCAAAAAAGTCAGTCAATTTTTTTTCCAATTTTCTTGCATTCATTGAAAGTTTTTCGGCTTTCCATTAACTAACTTTAAAGAGTCGATGAATATAGTTTAGATTCTTATATAGGTGCTGATCATTTTTCCCGTTCTTTTTTTTGCGGTTTGATTTTTTATTTTTTCTCAAGTTCAGTTTATTTCCTTTGTTGAAGGGAAATCAAATTCCACTATCGAACAGCAAAAGTGTTTTGTATTATTATTCGACGCTTACTTCTAATTTGAAGCCAAATTTTTAAAAGTTTTTTTTTGCGTAATGCAGAACGTTGCTACTTAAGGATAAAAAATCGGCTCAGAAAGTTTTGAGAACTGGCGCCGAAAAGAGCGGAAGAAATTAAAATTGATTGTTCCTTTTACAAGGAACAATTCAGAGAAAGGTTGTTGTCGTATCCGTTTTTGGTGTGGTAGTCAAACTCCTTACGGTTGCGATTCATTTTACATTTTTGAGATAAATCATGCATGCTTTTCATAGATGCGGAATGTTAGGTTTCTGTTCTAGCTCAATCTCCATTAAAAAGTTACCGATTGATCCAGTTTCTTCAAATTGGGTTAGTTTGAGTACCAACCAAAAAATCACTAATCGTATTTTTTTTTTTATATAAAATTCAAAGATCTTTAAAGGTATTAATTTTTTCTTTAAGTTTTTTTTTGTAAAAAAATACGTCAGTTTTTTTGCGTTTATTCCTCTTTTCTAACTGTCAGTTGGCTAAATTTTTAAGTGAAGCAATTTCCACCTATACTGGCATTGATGATATATGATATACAAATCTATTATATATTTAAATGCGGGCTTCACTATCTCGCCTTGTTTAAGCTTTTTGAACGTAGTACTTTTGCATGTTTAACAAAAGAATTTTTACGCGTTTAAGCTATATCGTATATTGCAATGGTTAAGGTTTTTTCGATTTTCCCGTCTAAATTCAGTGTTTATTTCATCAAGTTTGAAGTTAGCAAACCAATAGTGGGATGTTGTCAGTTTTCCCGGGTTTTCTGATTCTGGTCTCCATATATTAATAAATAAATCCTCTTAGTTCACGAGATACGGCAATTTTCGAGATTTTTAATTTGAAAAATTTTTTCAATTTTTGAAATTTTTCATCTATATTTGGGTGCTGTAAGGGTACTCTCAGTGGTCGCAAATCTTGCCTCCAAATATCACTTCTCAATTATTTGTAGGTTTTGAGATATGACGTTTTCTATGATTGTTTCGAAAAGTTTCAAGAAAACTTAAATTTTAAAAAATTCCAAAACTTGGTAGAGTTCTCAGTCGTGTTGTTGGAAACTGTGAGGGTACTCTCATGGGTTGAGAATCTGACCTCTGAATATCATTGCGCAGCTTCCGAGATATTACCTTTTTGGGATTTTTTTCCGAAAATTTAAGTATAAAATATTTCACAAAATTTGAAGTTCCCATCTCGATAGTGAGGCTCTCTCAGGGTACTGTCAGGAGTTGCAATTGTTGTCTCCAAATAACATTTGTTGTTGTTGACAGCTTAAAACCTTTTAGTTTTCCATATATGACGTTTTTTTGTGTTTTTTTCAAAAAACTTAAATGAAACCTCTTATTCAAAATCTGAAATTTCTAAGCTGTAATTGGGGGCTGTCAGAGTAATCTCAGGGGTGGTGAGTTTGGCTTCCAATTGAGAATGTCCAAAGTTTTTCAGCTTACGAGATAACGATTTTTGTAATTTTTTCAGAAATGTTCAGAAAACTCAAATTACAAAAAAAATCACAAAATGGAAATTTCCAACCCTGTAGTTGTGTGCTGTCGGAGTACTGTCAACGATTGCGTATATTGTCCTCAAATAAGACTGCTCAAATCTTGGTAGTTTTTGAGGTGTGCCTTTTTTTCTGGTTTTCAAATTTTTTTAGAAAACTTAAGTAACATTGTAGTTGGGTACTGTAAGAGTACTCTCAGAAGATGCAAATCTTGCGTCCAAATGCCACTGCTCAATTGCTTCTGGATTATAAGATGTGACGTTTCTTAGTTTATTTTGAGTTTTTTCAAAGAACTTAAACAAAACTTCACTAAATTTTATGGTTTTTCATAATTTGTATTAAAAAACTTGAATGAAAAACCTTCAAAATTTGTTAATACGAACCCTGTAATTTGGTGCTGTTAGAGTATACTCAAAGGATAGATCTTATTTTCAATATATGCGGCTAAATTGAGTTGTTAAAAATTCGAAGCATCGGAGGTGCGTTACACGCTAGTTGTCTTGAAATGCTCTAATAAATACAGAAGTGTATTCATACATGTTAATGCATTTATGTTGATTCAAATGTTGATTATGTTAACATTTTGAATTTAATGTTGATTATGTTAACTCAGTTTTTCTCATTTTGGGTTGATTTTACATGGATTATATCAATCATAATTTGGTCTCGAAATTCAATGAGCCATAATGCTCTTTTTTTGAATTTCGAAAAATTAAATTAATTCAAACAATAAGTTAGTCATTTTTTGGTTTACTTGCGTTTAGTTGACTCTTTCAACTGTCTTTGTTCCTAATGTCTGTTTTTCCAATCCCCCTCCAATCCGCCCCTGCCTACAATCAGTCTGGAACAGACACAAGGATGTACGATCGCAGAGTGACACTAAACATTTATGCGCAAAAATTAGCAGTCCATTAAAATCAAGAATTTACAGTTACTTAATTGTGTAGCGAGATATTGAAGTTTTGTAGATTCCCCTGGACTCTACGTACAGACCAGACCCACTGTGTGAGCAAGTGTGGCACCCCGAGGGGGGACTCAGTGAGAGAGAAGTGGAGGGAGTGGTGAGTGCAGTGAAGGCAGTGGGCACTATGGCCAGAGCCATAGACTACAACAACCACGCTCAGAGAGACCACTCCATGTGAGTATATAAGGGTACAAGTATGGAGGTTTTTCCATAATATCCCCCGCTACATTACAGAACCCCAATAAATTATAGACTCTCATTAAAGAAAACTCGGTATGTTTTGGCCTACAGCTTTTTTAGTAACTTGACTTATTATCATTGGAAAGAGTTAGTTGGGTTCTTGAAACACCCCGTGAGTTTTTTACAGGCTTTATTATGAATAGTTTTTAGTGGAATGTTTTGCTTGCTCAGCACAAATCCTACTTAACACGGGAAGCAAATGTTTGCTCTATTTTAATAGTTTCATTTATTTGTATTACACTGTCCAGAACTGGTTGACTTTCCTTTTTTAAGTTCCTGTTTTATAAAAACAGGTATTATGAAAAAAATATTGGGATCGGGTTTTTTTTTGAGATTCTTTGAAACTTCGAGTTCAATGAATACAACAGGTTGTGGGAAGCTCCCTTATTTAAGCGGCTCCGCCCAATTTTTTTACACAAAAATTGTGGCCCTCAGAAAAGTCAAATTTTTTATTTTTTGAAACTTTTTGACTTTTCTCAAAAACTATCCTCCCTAATCTGATATTTTGGTTTCAATGAGTGAAACGGGTTGTGGAAAGCTCCTTTTCTCTTGTGGAAAGCGGCTACGACCAATTGGAAAGCGGCTACGACTAATTTTTCTTTCACACAAAAATTATGACCCTCCGAAAATAATGTTTTTTTTTTACTTTTCTCAAAAACTAACCTCCCCAATCTGAGATATTGTTTTCAATGGATAGAACAAGTTTTTGGAAGCTACTCTGATTAAACATGTACGCCCAATTTTTTTACACAAAAGTTATGACCCTGAGAAAAGTCAATGTTTTGATTTCTTGTCCGTTTTTTTTTGAAACTTTTTGACTTCTCGAAAACAGCTCAATCTGATATCAAGGGTTTAATCAAGGCAACAGGTTGTGAGAAACGTCCGTGCATAAGATGCTGCGCCTTAAAATTTGAACAAGAAGCATGTTTCTGTGGAAAAGTTCTATAACTACAAATTTTTCACTCGTTTTTTAATAGAGCAACAATCAAGGTTTTGGGTGAAGCCCAATGCTTAAGTTTTTTGAAATACCTACTTCATCCCGCATAAGTACAACAATTTAAAAAATATCAAACCGGTACCTCCAGCTTTAGCTGGGCCTCTAGTAGCAGTTTAGCTTCAAGATATGATGGATCTGTAGCGTAGAGGTAGGGAAGGAGACCCGCAACAAAATAAGAGGGTTCGAACCTGGACAGGGTCGTATGTTTTTAATAAACTTTTTCGTATACTAGTTAAAATGCGTCCGCTATATAAATTGAGGCATTTTAGTCGGTAAATTTCTTTTTTTTTTCAAATTGACTGGTACTGCTAATGCTTCGTAATTGGCTTGTGTCATTTAGCAATTATGTAGACTCATTATTGGCGTGCGTCACTTAAGAAATATTGTGGACTCAAAGTTGTACTTATTCAGATTTTCCCAGTAGTGTTATCGGTCATAATTTTCTTTGTGTATGCGAAGTGCAACTTCGATTCTGTGTCAGAATTTTGATACACAACTTGAAAAACTAACTTTTCTTCTCAGCTACCACGGGAAATGTGTACAAAAAAAGTTTGTGGGAAAATTCGAAAATCGCAAAAATTTTTCACTCATGTTTTAATAGAGCAACAATTTAAGTTTTGGGTGAAGCCCAGTTTTTTAAATTTTTGAAATTATCTACTTCTTGCATCAGTACAACAAATTCAAAAATTATCAAACAGGTACCTCCAGTTTTAGCTGGGCCTCTAGTTTATTTCAGTGATTTGGCCCTTCTCACAGAGATTCCACGGTGCTGCTGATTTCCTCACCGAAATCACGTTTACTTTTTTATCCAGGTCTCTCTCCTATGGTAACTCGAAGGACCCTGGACTGTTGCACAGTGCATGTAGTGCCAGTAGAGACACTTGTGTGCAGGTGGCCTACAGTCAAATTAGCCGACACAAGTACAGCCTCACAGACATCATGCTCAGTCTGGTCACAGAGAAAGGACCACTCCTCATACGGTAGGCTAATGTGTGTAAGCAACGGCAAAATGTTTGAAAAAAGCACTTTTCTACATATAATCGTAGCTTTTGTTAACTTTAAAAAATCGAAAAATTATCACATAATGAGTTCGAAAAGTGACGTTGACGTTAATCAGTAAAAAGTCAGAATTTAATATGGAGAAACTTGATTTTGGAAAAAAAAAATAAAAGTAATTTACCAAGATAGCAATGAAATTTGATCAAAATTTGAACTCATTTCTTTGGGATTAGATCCATAAATTGAACCAACTGTTGAGCCAACTAAAAAAAGTTAACTTTAATATGCAGGGACGAGATGGAGGCGTGGTCTGTGTATGAGGCGAATCTGTTCGAGGAGGCACTTGATAAGATGGGCAAGGACTTCCTCTCCATCCAACAGCAGATGTTTCCCTGGAAGACACTACACGCCATCATAGAGTAAGCGAGGGGGGCTGATCATTTACAGTTGCAAAGAAAACTTTGCGATCAAAAAGGTCAAAACTGCCCACAAAGCCTCCAACTATTGTATTTTTGTACCTCGTTTTACAGAAGCGAACTTTAAGTGCACTAAGACATGCCCAATTTTTTTCATATTTTTTGAGTAATGAGCGTGGTGCGTGATTGTATATGATAATAATTTATTTTTGGGCTAAAATAGTATTTTGTTGTATGTGCAGATACTACTACATGTGGAAGACTACAGACAGGTACATGAGACAGAAGAGACTGAAGGCAGCTGATGTTGACCAGAGACTGAAGCAGGTCTACATTCCCTCTGACTCATCCGTAAACAACCCCAACAGAACAACAACCACAACTGCCATACAGACACAAGCGAGCAGCACCAATCAGAAGGAAGGAGGAGGAAGGGGGTCGACAGGGAACAGTATTGGGGGGACAGCAGAAGTTATGCACAGGGTCATATGCGAAGTGAGTTCGCTTATTCAATTTGTTCATGCAAAGAAAAAAGCTGAAGGATAAATTTGTGAACGGCCATTATTCATAGTAAGCGTGTCAAAATGATATATTTATTTAATTCATTAACCATTCAATGTTTAACTGTAGCGTCTGAAACAACAAACAAGCAAAAATAGAATGTTAAAGAGGTAGCCTTAGACTGGAGGTAGCGAATGCGCCAGATATAGCCGGGGTCGTGGGTTCGAATCTGAGTAGGACCTGATTTTTTTTAAATGGGAAATATTCTCCAAAATTTGTCGGCTGATTATTTGTCTGCTTTTGTTTTGTCGGCTTAGTTGCCACATCTTAGGTTTTTTGCTGTACGCAATTTCCATGTAAGTTGCCTTTTATAATTTCATTTTGCAATTTGTAATTCTACTTAATTAACTTATTTTTTCCTATTTTTTTTATTTAGTTCAAAGTTTTTCATGACAACAGTTTTTTTGTTTTTGAGTTTTTTTTAGACGCTATGGAATGTGTTTCTGGACGTGTTTTCCGCAAATAAAACAGCATTCCAGGCTTTTGAAGTTTTTTAGTTGTGGATTTACCGAAAATGTTTCCGTTTGTTTACTTAGTTGCTCTCCTTTCCTGTCTGCTAGCTCGTGATGCTTTTATTGTCGTACCGCTTCGCCTCCGTGTCTTAAATATTGAACAGTAACACCTTTCAAGTTCCTTCCCAATTGGCCTAAGGGTAAAACTGTCGCCTTTGAATCCTAAGATATGGGGCTCGCGTCTCGTCCAGACCCTAATTTTTTAGTTTTTATGCAATTGAAACAAATTTCGTGTAATTGAATTGTCAGCCTTTCATTTGTCTGCTCAAGGTTTGTCAACTAAATTGCCACATCATGGATTTTGCTTGTGTTGTTAACAAAATTCATAGCAGAAGCAAGTGTTGTTCAGCTTAGAATCTTAGGCGAACTTTAAATATTTTTTTTCCATGAATTAAGTTTTTTTTTCGGCTCAACTGGTGTCTGCTCAAAGATTGTCGTCTTAGCTGCTACGTTACTGATTTTTTCTTGTGCTGTAAGCAATTTTCGTTGTATTTTTTGTTTTTTTTTGCTCCGGATCGCACAAATATATTTTATAGTTCAAAGTTTTTCATGACAACATTTTCAATGTAGTGCATGTGTTGTTCAAGTGTTTGCAAGTTCAATGTTTCTTCAGTTTTTGCAAGTGTTTTTCAATGTAGTTTCAGATGAGACTAAAGTTAAACAATTTTTTATTCCTGTTTGAAAATGAATGGGATCGGGTTTTTTTTTTGTTTTTTTTTTAGACATTGGAAAAACTTTTCTTTTTTTCAAAAATTTAGTTTTTCTCAAAAACTACTCTATCGAAAAAAAATGGTGCCTGTGGTTATCTGTATAATCCTTTAGTTTTTTTTCACCTTACTTCATTTTCTACAGCCTTCGAAAAAGTGTGTGCGAGGAATTTTTGGAGTTTTCTACAATTTCTCGTGAACTACCCTCCCAAATTTGAGATTTTGGTTTTCATGGATAGAACAAGTTGTGAGAAGCTACCCTGTATTAGCCGCTCCCCCAGTTTTTTTTATTTACACAAAAAGTTATTGCCCTCAGAAAAGTCAAATTTTCGACTTTTCGACCGTTTCTTAAAAGCTTTTAGAATTTTCTCAAAAACTACTTTTTACATTGGAGATTTTGGTTTCAAAAAGTTTAACGGGTTGTGGAAAGCTCCCCTGCATAAGCGATTGCGCCCAAGTTTTTCCATACAATAAATAGTGACTCTCGAAATAAAAACAATTTTTCGATTTTGTGACCGTTTTTTTGAAAATTTTTGACTTTTCTCCAAAATCACCCTCCCAAATCTGAGGTTTTGGTTTTAATGGGTAGAACAGGTTGTGGAAAGCTCTTTGAATAAACGGCTGTGCCCAATTGTTTTTATATAACAAGTTATTACCCTCCAAAAGTCAAGTTTTTTGACCGTTTTTTCAAACTTATTGACTTTTCTCGAAAACTACCCTTCTTAATCTGAAGTTCAAAAAGAGTCAAACAGGTATTTCCAGCTTTAGCTGACCTCTAGTATAATCATATTTTTCTCAGGAGGTACTTAAAACTTCAAGATTTTTATATAATCATTTATTCAAGTTTATTCAAGTGTTTGCTCAAAGATTGTCGAATTTGTTTACTTTTTGTAAGTTTTGCTCCGTTGCTAATTTAATATTCAAATTTCTGGAATTTTTGCCTTCAATGATTTTTGGTAGACCTATTTTTGTTCATAATTTTATTCAACTTTGTATGTTTTTGTATGTTTTTAATACATCGCAAGTGTAAATCGCAAGTTTCTTATGCAGCGCTGTGTTAAATTTATTTTGCTGTTCTAAACTCCAAGAAAACATGCCGGCGTAAGAAAGTGAACAGAGTCTTACAACCTTTTTGTTTCGACCATTGAAAACGGGTAAGAACTTTGTATTCGGGTGTGTTTTAGTTGTGTTGTTCTTTTTGGTTTTTCACGCAAAATCAGGTATCACAAATGATCATCTGAATAGGTCGAGTGGGTTTTTATATCAACGCATTTTCAGTCATGATTCCACAACAATAATTTTTTTCAAAAAGTTGTCTATGTATTGAGAAAAACAGGTTCGAAATTTCGGTGTTTCATTTCAATTGCGAACGATTGAAGTCTTGATGAAGTCATGTAAAGACAAAGAAAGGACTGCACTTTAAAGTGTAAAGTGTAGGAGAGGCTGTGATATATACTGTCATACTATTCAAAATAGCTTCCCTGGCAGCTCCTGGGTTTGAGTTTGGTTCCTTTCTTAAAATAATGAGTCAGAGGTGGGGTTTGATACAATTTGCTGCCAAAGGAGCATTACAGAGCATTGCTGGTTTCATTTATCAAAAAAAGCACCAGTCATAAATTATTGTTGAAATTCGAAGAGCTGTATGTGCATTCATTTTTTTCCCGTAAAATTCGAAACAAAAAATAAACCAGTTTTTTTGTTTGCTTTCATCACTGCTTTTAAACTGTCAGATGATAATGTTTAGATAATATTTTTGATGCCAAATTGTATGCAAATAAGCGGTGTCGTGGTCAAGTCTAGCAGTTCTTGTTTATTTAAAGCAAAATGAGTAGCCCAAATGTAGTAAAGAGATTTCATGATTTGTATGAGTTCGCTGATGTTCTGTTTCAGGGGGTAAAAAAGTTTTAGTTCTCATGCCTTTCCTTTTTAGAGCTGATTTACTTTTCTTGTTAAAGCTTCGATTTTGCTGACAACATCGGAAATAAAGTTACTGAAGTTCCAAATTGTTAGTGATTTAATAAAGAACATTTTGCATTTGGTTTTAATTGAAATCGAAGACTTGGCTTATAAACATTTTTGCTGAAGTTTTCATCGATGAACTTATTTATCTACGATATCTATTTATACAGTTCTTCGTTATTCGGCATATACTAGTATGTCAAATTTATATCGAAAAATTTCAATCAAGTTTTGAAGAATAAGATAATAAGTTCCATCTCCGGAGCAATTTGAACTACAGTTGCAACGAGAATAATTTTTGACTTTTAACCAGTTATTTTTATCATCCATCATTGTATTTGATTTCTATCTTCTTTTATATTTTATCCTTTTTCAGTTAATTTAGGAAAAATATTTTAAAAACTTAAGTCAGATTTTAAAATTGATCTAAATCTGTTTTAAATGAAATTAGTAACTTCCTGTTTCAACCACCTCTTGTTACCATGTCATCAAACTGTCATCTAATATAACAAAAATACAATAAATATGGGATTATTTGATGAAATGGTACCAAAAATTAGTTTAAAATGGAAGTTACAAGTTCAACTGGGGACTATTCTCATGCGCGAAGGACAAAATGTGCTAAAATTATCAATCAATCTAAGCCCTTTAAACTGTCCGAAACTGACTGAGTGTATCGATTACTTATTTCAAATCGTTAAATACTGAGCTGTGATTGGTTGACAAAACTTTTGATAATTCGATCCTTTACGCATGAGGCACTCCCCCAGTTCTGTTTTCGGCCGATTCAGATCAAATCTCATTATTAGTTTAGTTGTTTTCTGTTCTGTAGGGATGTGAGATAGAAGAGTCCTCGTCTACTGACTGGTTTCTCTGGGGTCCAAACAACCAGTGCAGACTATGTGGCGACTGCTGGACTTACTGGAAAAAGTGAGAGCCAAAGAAAACGTTTTAATGCAGTTAATAGCCAAAAAAGTCATATTAAATAGATTTTCAAATATTGAATTTCAGAAAAAATCATAGTGATGACTGACTGGAAAAGAGCCGCTTTTTTGCTATAATCACAATCTGTAGCATTGGAATTTTCATAAAATATGTTCTCTGGTTCGTTTTTGGCTGTGTTCGTCGCCTGTTATGCGTCCGTGGCCAATTTTGGTGGCATTTGTTCAAATCCGTCGCGTTGCCGGTTTGAGGTTTATTTCTGCTTTTTCTTATTTCTCTTTAAAGAGCTGCTTTTTGTCGTTTTTTGCTAGTTTGCAAAGCGCAGCTTCGCCTCAGTGTGAGCGATTTAACACATTTGTTTTCGGATTGAATGAGTAAAATTATTGCGAAATTTTTTCTATGTGACAACAATTTTTTGTACAATATGGGATTCGTAGATTGACCACCAAATGCAAAGTTAAGCCAAATCGATGGCAAAGTTTTATTTAATATTCTAATAATAACTGCCGTCCGTAATTTAATATTTTAAAACTACTTTTTTTACTAAATTCATTTTGCAATGTAGGTACGGCGGACTAGTGAAGCCCAATTTCTACGAGGGCAACATAGTGCAGAGTGCAACAGGGAGTGCTGAGAGTGCGAAATACGAGTGCAGAAACTGTGCGAAACTATTCAACAGACAGGTGAAAGTTAAGATTTAAGGGCTAATTTTTATCACTGAAAGAAAGTATCAGACTGATTAGTACACAATGGAAAGTGGAAATAATCAACATCGGTATTGTTCAAACTTTTATGAAAAAGGTATTGTTGTGCGCCTGATCCAAAAATGCATGAAATTTTTCCTGCAAGCTGCGTGTTAATGTTGCCGCCTCATCGCAACAAAAGTGCACTTACTATTGAGAAAGAGATGATCACCACGTTACCGCCACTCGTTTTCTTAAGTCATTTTTTTTGGTTTGGCAATGTTTTTTTCTCGAAACGGTCCATTTAATTGGTCTTAAATGTTGAATCAAATTCCTACGGTAATTTTTTTTTCAAAATAAATATGGGAAGGGGACAAAGAGACGAGTTTTAATATATTTTCCGAAGCTTCATTGTTGTCAACACTGATAATGAAGAGGACTTACTCTTTGGGTGCGTTTTGGTTTTTTGTAAACTTTCCCACCCGCAACATCAGCTGTCACAAATAATCATCGCAATGGAATAATTGTTTTTTTTGGGAAAGCTATTTTTAATATACCTAATTTACTATAATTCAACCAAAGTAACAGCTATCCTAGTTTAATAACATTATATTTTGATTAGGAGCGCCTAATCAACCACATGGCTACACACGGAGAGTACATTTGCACAGTGGTGGGCAGAGGCAGTCAGTGCGAGAAGAAGGAGTTCAAGAGTAGAAACCAACTGCACAGACACTTGGCCACAGTGCATCAACTGGTGCTCACTAAAAAAGACACTTATGTACAGGCGAGCAAGTTTTCATTATATTTACAAGTTAATAGTTTGTCAAACTGTTTCTACATTTAAACAAACCTGAACTTAAGAAAGACACTTACATACAGGCAAGATAACGTTTTGGAGATTTCAAGTTGTTCACCTCGGTCGTTTGTTTGTTTGTAAAAAAAATTTAGTCTTTCATTTGAAACAAACTTGCTGCAAAGTACAGCGTGTAGTTATAGTTGTTACTTTACTGTATATGAACCAACTGGTGCTCACTAACAAAGATACTTATTTGCAGGAGAGTTAGTCTTTCTGTCATTTGAAATTGTTTTTTTTTCGAATTTTGAAAAGTGAATTTTGAATTTAGAATTTTTTCGATTGTTTTTTTTTCGAATTTTGAAAAGTGGAAATAAATACAAGCTAGGGAAATGTTTAGCTTTAGGTTTTTTGTGGTGTTTTATTGCAAAATGTATATTACTGGTGCTTATGGAAACAATTAGAATGTCTTCAACTATGAAAAACTTTTTTGATTATTATCATTTGGTTAGTTGGGCTTCTGTGTAGTTGTAAGAAATATTTTGAAAAGGATTTCATTTGCAAACTGAGTAAACTTGGGCTCACAAAGAAATACACTTACTGTCAGGAAAAAAAACATTGAATTTGTTTGACTAAACTGGATGATGGTTATAACAAACTATTACGACCCTATTTTTCAGGCGATCAAATCGAGAACTTGTTTCCTGTTAGTCACGACTCCTCTGTCCAAATATGGAAGGAAATTCAGTTCTCTTTACAACACTATGAAAACTTTGGCCAGACGACCTTGCGCTGAATTTGACCACGAAACAGTTCAGAAACAAGTACGTTATTTAGTTATTTTATTGGTTAAAAACAACAATAGTTTGAAGTTATTTTAAATGTATTTGAAGCGAATTCTTTTTGGGAACATAACTTATCGATTTTTTTTTTCGTAAAAACAGTGTTTTGTTAATTTTGAACAAATATTTCGCAATCCTAAGTCGCAAATTTTCAGCTTTTTCCTTTTTTAGACTCCAGTTTAATAACAAAAAATATAACCATTCAGGCTGTGATTTTTCTATTATGGAGGGGTTGAAATTTGCTGGGGGAAGGGGTGTTCAAAATGATGAAGCCAAAATGTCAAATTTTTTTTTTGTGCTTTTAGCATTACGAGTTTCACAATTTAGAGCTTTTATGTGTTCCAGGCTATGATAAACTTCAACGTTGACGAAATAAAAGCCCTCTGCAATACTCCGAAATCGCTAAAAGCAGAAAGAGCAAAACTGAAGGTCAAAATAACAGACGAACTGATTGAAAAGATCAGAAACTTTGAAGAAAAGGTGATCAAACTAGAAGCTGAAAACTTTGCAGGATCGAGTCAACTCAAACGAAAACTACCAAGTATATCTTTGCCAATATGTGCGGCGAAAGTTAAAAGAGTAAATTGGCTGGAACAAGCTGATGGTGTTATTTATATGCAGACTGAGAAAACGATGAAGTTACGCAACTTGTTGACAGTTCCCCAGCAGAAAAAATGCGGACGCAGACCCTGTGTTTTGGCCCTACCCGACATGGGTCGAGGATAAAAAACTTGATGTTTTCAAGATAATACGAAAGAAGTGCGGAAAAAAGTTCTTCTATCAAATTGATATCTTTAGTTAAAAGAAAAAACTATATATGATTTCGTAGAAGCAAATAAAAACTTCTTTCCCAAATATAAAATATTGTATCACATATATTGTTTAATGAAAAAAGAAGTAGAACTTCATTTATTAGAGGTACTTATAAAAATTTTTTAATGAATGACCTTACATTTGAAATGTGCAAAAGAAAATGTTTTATTTTGTGCGCAAATTTAATAAGATCACAACGCATTGCCAGAATGGAATTAGAGGTTACGAGAATGTTGTTGAATTAAAATTAGTTGCCAATTTGTGATCTACTAAACAATTGCCTCCCCCATTCAAGAAAGGGCAATTGTTAAGTAGATAAAGTTGTCGAATTTTCGGCCAATCAGATTGCAGCAAAATTCGAATTTTAAATGCAACGCTCTGCTAATTTACTGCTTTTACTGCGAAGGTGTACCTTATACCTTCTGTTTTAATAGTAGCTTATTTTAACTCGTTCAGTAGAAAAAAAGTCATTTACTTATGGTCAATATAAATCACAGTGTTGCAGTGTTATGCCGGCTGTATTGTTATCATTGATTGGTAACTGCAGAGCTGAATAATGAACAGAAACAAAATATCATAAATTAGTCATAATAGTTGCTCACTGTTTTAACTCGTTGACAGTAGAAAGAAAATCATATAACAATGGTCAATTAAAATCACAGTTTTGCAGTAGCAGTTTCATGGCGACTTGTATTGTTATCATTTATTGGTAACTGCAGAGCTGAATGAAGAACAGAAACAAAATAGCTAGCAAAAATTAGTCATTCAAAATATGCTCAATGTCCACGATACATCAGTACATTTTACTTTCGTTTTTAACGTGTTTTAATTCGTTCACAGTTGAAAAAAAAAATCACATAGTAATGGACAATTCAACTCGCAGTTTTGCGGTAGCAGTTTCATGATGACTTGTTTTGTTATGATTAATTGGTAACTGCAAAGCTGCATAAAAAACAGAAACAAAATAGAAGCGAAAATTAGTCATTCCAAAATATGCTCGATGTCCATGAAACATCAATACATTTTACTTTTTTAAATTTAACTTGTTTTAACTCGTTCTCAGTAAAAAAAAATACATGATTATTGTCAATTCAAATCATAGTTTTGCAGTATTAGTTTTTATCTTGGTTGAAGTTTCTTATTTAGTTACTTCTAAAAAAGTTTTTGCATCTAAAACCAACAACCAAGTTGTTCTTTACAGGAACCTTAAATACAACAATTGACAACTCATCATGGCGTAAGTTTATCTATGTTAAATGCAGACTTGTTAACGGGCCGCCATAATTGAGGCCCGGCCCGGCCCGGCCCGATATAATTCAAGTCGAGCCCGTTGGCGGCCCGATAAACAAGGAATTTATTAAATTTCGGCCCGTTAGGGCCCGTTGCTGCCTTTTTGGTAAAAAACTAAATTGTTTCAAAGCAATTTTAATTAATTGTTTGACTTGTTTATAAAGACCCTTTTTAAAAGCCATGAAAACCATTTTAATTGTTTCACTGTATCTATCCAAACGTTTTATTTTCAATTTTTCAATGCATTTTTGAAATTTTATAAATTAATCAAGTTATTCAGAAGCAGTGTTGAAGAGCCGAGTCTTATTTTAAAATCTCTGAGCCCATTTAGTATTAACCGAAAACGCTCAACAAAATCAAAGGTTCTTCTCGCAAAGAGCCGCTGAGTGAAGTCAAGCAAAATACTCCTGACCTAGAATCTATGAGAAAATTTTGCTTTTAATGGAATTCCGTTGCCCTAAACATGCGTGTGAGGTTGATTTTGTTGCTATTTTAGAAAGTTTAATTGATTTGCAGATCACTGTATTCTGTATATTAAAAAATAATAAACAGTGGACAACTATTAAACTAGCAGAGCTTGCGTTACGTGTACATTTGTGGTTCTGAACATGCAGAGTTTAGTGTTTTACTTAGCAATTTTTATCGAAGACTACTCGCAAACTAAAATGCTTGTTTTGGTGACTCATTGACAAAATAAAATTTTGTTTTTTAAGGACTTTCTACGAACAAATCATTGCAAAAACTCTTTGCTTCATTAAATTCATAACAAACTTGGAAAACTTGGCCTATTTTATATCAGCATGGTGGCCTCGTTATTTTTTGTTGATGAGCGAATACAGGAAACTCTCAACGAAACCTTAATTATGTTTGCCTACACCCGCTGACAGGATGCAAGTAAAACACTAAAACCCTAGAATTTAAGGGAAAATTTTGCCTTTAAAGGTATTCAGTTGCCCTAAACATGCGTTTGTGAGACTGAGTTCGTTGCTACTTCAGATAGTGTAATTGATATTCATATCACTGTATTCCGTATATTGAAAAAGTGTTAATTTTCGGTAAAACTATTTTTCGCAGCATTTTTCGAAGACTACTCGCAAACTTAAATACTTGTTTTGGCTGCTCATGGACAAAATAAAATCTTTTCTTACTTCTAACCTAGACTTTTTGAAGAATTATTGCTTTTAAAGGACTTCGGTTGCCTTGATCATGCGTTTTTGAGACCATTTCATTGGTAGTATGGAAAGTTTACTTGATTTTCAGATCGCTGTAATCAGTATATTAACAATAACTATAAGCAAAGGTCCGTTTTTAAGCAAGCCGATCTTGCGTTACTTTTACATTTGTTTTTCTGACCATGCAGATGGTAGTGTTATACTTGGAAGCATTTTTTTTCGAATATTACCCGTAAACAAAAAAAAAATATTTTTGGTGGCTCCTTGACGAAAAAAATCTTGTTTTTCGAGATATTTCTTCGAGCAAATTAATGCAAAAATCCGTATCGTTTTCTTGCTGGTTTGCGAATTTGCAGCATTGCCTGTGCATTGAACTGAAGATTCATTCAGCTTCCACTCATCTTGGGACAAGCAAGGGTATTGCAGTCGGTTACTATACTTTTCCCGTAAATGATTTTGTTCACAGGACTCATCGACTCAAGGTACCTTGGGCTGAATAACTGAGGGCAATCTTGGGCTAAAACACTGAAGGCAACCACACTCTCATCGTTTCTCGCTTGTTTCCGAATTTGCAGCATTGCATGTGTATTAAACTGAAGATAGTTTCAGTTTTCATTATGTTTGCAACAATCGGGTACTATACTTTTTTCCCGTGAATAACTTTGTTCACATGACTCATCAACTCCAGGTGGTGCTTTGGTTCACAAAGAAATCCAATTTCTTGCTGTTTCCTGCGCACTAAGCCTGGGGAAAAGGATACTTCGAAGACAGCAAAGGTCCTGGTTTCGAATCTGACCAGGACCTTTTTTCAACAGTAAAAATTCCTGGTTAGAAAAATTTTGGCTCATTATTTGCCTGCTTATGTCGGATTAGTTGCCAGATCTAGGAATCAGTTTTTTTTTTGTTCTGAACAATTTCTACTGTAGTTGCCTTCAGTGTTTGAGCTTTAAAGAATCAAAATTTGCTTCTTTATTGGTTGTAATTTTACCAAATATAATTTTCTTTTTAATGACGATATAAACGTCGTATCTCACAACGCCTGTTTGACCTTTTTCAAAATGACATAACGAACCTAACTACATGCTTGCATTATAACAAACTCACCCTAAATACATATAAGACTTAACTGAAGCTTTTTCAAAAACAGAGGGGCTTCTAACAACTTAAATATACATATAAGAGATTTGTCTGTTTCGGAAATAATTTCATGCATGAGTAATTGTTGATAGTAAATTAAGCTTTTCCGATCAGGTTGATAAACTCAGTAATAAATTAGGCAGGCGTTGTCTCAAAAATGCATCACTTTGTACATTAAATTATTTAATTAATATTTCATAATGCAGACATAAAACCTGTAATACAATCTGGTCTACTTGTTTTTCTGTGCACTAGTTTTTCTACAGTCAACCTTCTTTTTATGAGCCTGAGAAAAAGTTTGGGTATGATACATTTTAAGCTCAAATTTGATTGCGTATCCCGTGACTTTATTGAAAACAAAATACGAACTGTTTATGAGCTTTATATGACTTATTGAAGTTTTGCATACGCTCTTTAAATTGGTCACATTCAACTCAGTGTTTGAACCATACTTACGCCGTTTCAAAATCCAAATAGTACTAGGAGATAAAAAAGATTGCTATATCAAAAAATTTTCTGCAGAAATAAACAAAATACTTAATCAATGAAAAATATGGGTTCAAAACTATGTATCTTACTGGTTGAAAACGACATGCCACCGTCACAAATTGAAAAAAAAACTATTTTATGGGAAATCCTGATCTAACAACCCTTGTTTTTAAAAATTAGTGTTCGCTTGTTCGTTTTAATTATACAATCCTAGTTATTTGACTCTATCAAACCCCCAAATTGCCTTATGAGTTTAGCCCAGGAATATGAATCCTCAAAAGTTGCTGGTTTTCAGACATCGACAATTTTAAGATTTTTCAGAGTTTTCTCAAAAACTTCTGGCTCCTCAATTGTTACTAGATTTATATATCGACGATTTTATTATTTTTCAGAAAATTTCCAATTTTTTTCTCTCTTTCTTCACCAATAAAGAACTCATTGGACAGCTAGTTAAATATTATCAGACCACCAATACAGTTTGGTAATCTAAATTAGAATTATGACCTCTCAAAAGGTGCTAGCTCTCAGGATACTGACGATTTTCTAATTTTTAGGAGTTACTGAAAAAGTTCGAGTTTTTCCTTTTTTTTTCTTTGATTTCTGCAATTCTCTGACTCCGAGTGCAATGGCGCATCGCCCTCATGCTTTATACGTAAATTACAGTAAGTACATTGATGTGATTCACATAAACTTCTTTTTATCATTTTTTCTCAAGTAACCCATAAGTTAAATATTTTTAATACATTTTGTTAATTAGTACATTTTTAATTACTTTGTTAAGTAAGCACTGGGCAGACTCTCAGTGGGCATTGACCTTGCCCTTTGTCTATCCACTTCTGTTGTATAAATTTTGATCGATATAAATTTAATATTGTCTAACGTTGCATTCTTTGCATATCTTTCATTTTTATACAATTGCAGAAAAAACTCGTTCTTTCTTTCTTTCTTTCTTTCTGTCTTTCTTTCTTTTTTTCTTTCTTTCTTTCTTTCTTTCTTTTCAATTCAATTCACATTTTTACAGTAGCACTTCTCTGTCGTCTGTCTTAGTA